TTCTAGTATAGAAAAGATTTTTGGTCAAAGTTTGTGTTTTGACTATTCACACACACAACACATGCACATATACATATGTACGTTTAAACATACACATAAATATGTATGTACACATACAAATGTATATGTATACTGCACACACAAACTTACACATGTATGCAATGATCACAATTATCTTTCAATAAGAGATATGTGCTTAAGTACATGTTCATTGTAATTTTACATAGTTTTATTTGTAATATTCCCTATTTTCTATGTTTTTGTTTTATGCTTGTTAACATTAACTTTGGTCTTTGTATTAGTTTCTGGTGGCTGCTGTAACAAATTACCTCAAGCTTAATGGCTTAAAACAACAGAAATTTTCTCTCTCAGTTCTAGAGGCCAGAGTCCAAAATCAGTTTCACTGTACCAAAATCAAAGTGTTAGCAGCACCACACTCCCTCCACAGATTGTAGGTGAAAATTTGTTCCTTGACATTTCTAGCTTTTGATGTTTGCTGGCATTCCTTTGCTTGTGGCTGCATGATATCAATCTCTGCTTGCATTTTCACATCACCTTCTCTTCTTCTGTATGTTGAATCTCCCTCTACCTCTCTGTTACAAGGATACTTGTGATGGCATTTTGGGCCCATCTAGATAATGCGGGATTATCTCATCTTAACACCGTTAATCATATCTGCAAAAGCCCTCTTTTCTTATAAAGTAACTTTTACAGGTTCGAGGGATTAGGACCCGGTATCTTTGAGTGGCTGGTTATTCAGTCTCTTACAGTTCTCACAGCAAGTCATTGAAAGGTCTTTTCCAAGGTTGAAGTTTGGTGAAGAGTCATGGTTACAACAGAGAAATAGAACAAACATAATGTATATTCCCACTGCTAGAAGAAATAGAACTGCTTAATAAATTATAATCAAGCTGACTCAGAAGTTTGGACTTGATGGGAAATTAAGATTCTGAACTACTGTTTCAAACTTGTTACAGTGGGGATTTTGAATCCTTGGTCACATAGTGCAGGGCATTAACGTCTACCATACTTGATAATAAAAGTAGGGATATTTATGGCTCTGTATTTTTTTTTTATAATTTCATCTGCACATATATATCTTTTCATATTGTGAATTACTCTATCTTGACCCCGTTAGCTTCTCTGCAGCTACCTAAACCTGGAAGTCTTCCTATTAGTAGAACAAAGAGTAATATGTTTGAAGCTGTTTTCTCTGGCTAGAGGTGTAGACCTCTGAAAGCAAGAACAGAGCAGAGGTGATATACTATAAGAAAACTGGACTGGTAGTGAGAGAGAGTCTTTTTATCCCTAGCTCATTATTCATAAAAATCTAAAATATTTGTTACTTACATCTAAAAGTCATGGTCATCATTTCCCTTCAAGGGAGAATTGACATCATTAAACTTTCAATGAATGCATTAGAAGTGCTCTTGGCTTTGTCGTAATTTCACCATGTAGTATGGGGATATACTTTTTCTCCACATAGTGCAGGTCTTATCTTAAAAAACGGTACATAGTTAATTTCTTTCTTTTCCCTAATGGGACCTTCTTTGCAGATTTTGAGATACAAAATAGGCTGTGTTTCTCTGAAAAAGAAATCAAAATAGGTGCATACTGAAAATTACTAGATAGAGATAAGGAATGAACAAATCAACATTTTAAAAAATTTATTTATTTATTTATTTGGTGGCTGGTGGTATGAGGATCCAAGCCCTTGACCTTGGCGTTGTCAGCACTACAGTCTAACCAAGTGAGCTAACCAGCCAGTCCAATGTATTTAGTATTAATAGTCACTTATCAGACATTTCTTAGAGTATTTGAAAAAAATTGGTTTTATTGAAATGTTTGAGTTTGTGTTCTAATTTAATATAGGAATGATTCTTGGAGTAGGGGAGATCAGAGTAAAGACTGTAAATAGCTGTAGTTTTCAAATGTTGGGGGTGGAGAAGGGATTCATAAAAATAAGGAAAAAAAAGCGTTTTAGGGGAACTAGAAATAGAGTCTTCCAGCAAGGAGTGATAAAAGCAATTAGGCATGTAAGGACTAGTTGAAGAAATAACTTCTTATTGAAAGGATGGATAGAAGGTAATTTCTAAGCGTAATTCAGACTTTGAGTTGTGATATTTTTGTTGTACATACCTAATATAAAGCATACATTATTAAAAAAAATAAATGATTTGGGGGCTTCCAGTCAAGATGTCAGAATAGACGATTCCGAGCATCACTCTCTCCCATAAATCAACCAATTTACAACTAGTAAAAAGCAACAACAGCCAAGAGGGGGTCACTAGAGATCTGGGGAAGAGGAGGAGAGACCTATGGAATTCATGAAGGCAGGAAAAGCCACAATGAGAGAAAGAAAGGATTGTTTCTACCATTTCGAATCCTGGCTGCTTCAAGACGAGCTGATGAGTGCATGGAGCAAGAGCTGGCAAAAGTTGCAGCTGTGCCCTTCAGATGAAGTTGCTTGGAAGTGGCAGGGGAGAAGAGGGCCTTGGTGGCCCTCAGGCTGTCAAGACCACTAACAGGGCTCCTGTGGACTCATATCGGAGCGAGGAGTCACAACAACTGAAAAAAGGAGCCACTCAGAGGCTGGTGAGTCATTGCAAAGGACCAGCACACAGCCCGTCCCGTGGGAAGTATTTGGAGTGTAGGTGGTGGGAGAGATGGGCCACCAGGGGAGCATTGGGGCACAGCAAGGACAGCTGATCTGTCACCCAATCAGCACAGGACCACTCTGTGTAGACTGGTCAGGAATAGAGAACTGCAGGGGGAGCAGTTTGCTTCAAAGACTCAGGTCCAGACCAGAGTTTCTACACAATCCAGGTGTTCTGGACCTCTTGAGACCTGAAAGTACATGCAAAGTCAACCATTAAAACCTGAGCTGCACAAAAAGCCTTACCCAGGGAATCAGCAGCAAAGCAGCAGTTTAGCTCAACCGCAGGGCTTAAGTGCTGGTCCCCACAGGAAGTTCCTCCATTTTAGAAGTAAGCAAAGGACAACAAGTTAGTTCTGGTGCAGAGTTTAAGTAGTGGAAACACTGAATAATCCATCACAGAACTGAAAGAAAAAACAAAATACCCACAGGCCAGAGACAGAGTTTGACATTAACTGGTAAAGGTCTCACTTCACCAAAGAACACCTATAAATCCTAGAAGGACCAGAAGCCTCCTGGGCCCCCAAGCCAGGGAGGAAAGAGGGCCCAAAACCTCACTCATGCCCCCTGACACCCAAAACAAGCCCACCGACGACCACGGAGTTGCTGCAGGAACTGCCCTGGGCCCCTGAGCCAGAATGGTAGGGGCCTCAGGCCTCAGCCATGCCCCCCTGACACCCACACCCAGCCCAGTGACCACCACCAAGCCCCCACATGAAGTAACCCGGGCTCCTGAGCCAGGCAGTGGAGGGCTAAAGGCCTTGGCCATGCCCCCCCCAACACCCTCACCCAGTCCAGTGACCACCACCAAGCTGCCACAGGAAGTGCCCCAGGCTCTCGAGCCGTGATGGTGGGGGACCAAGGGCTTCAGCCACACCCACCCCCCGACATCTGCAACCAGTCCAATGATGACTTTATCCACTGCTGGAAGCCCCCTGGTATACCAAGCCAGGGCAGTTGGGGGCTGAAGGCTCCAGCCACACCCCCCAACATCAACATTCAGCTGGTGGCAATGACTGAGACACCGCTGGAAGCCCCCTGGTCTCCCTGCAGGAATGAGGGGGGGTACCACAGCTTCAACTACACACCCCCCCTCTCCCACCCTATTTCCTTCCCACTTTCCCTCTCCTCCTCCCACCCAACTGCTCCACAACAACATCTTAGAATGTAAAAGCAGATGGAGCTGGGGATCAACCCCTTCTCCTGCAACCAGGCATGCTGCCACTGCCACAGGGCCCACCTGGGGTCCTGAGGTTGGAGCTGGGGACTGACCCACAGCCAGGCAAGGAGCACGCCAAAAACACCACTTTTATACAGGTGGCCCACCACAGCCACCACAATAGCCATGGCTGCTGCCAAAGTGGGTAGACACCATAACCACCGTGCAGATGGCCCACCAGCCACTCGAGTGCATTGACACAAGGAGAGTCACTAGGAGAGACCAAAGAAAAAAGGAGGATGTCTCTCTCCACAAAGCCCACTCCAGAGTGACAGAAGAAGCATCTACTCTACAATAATAGTGGGAGACCTGAATACACCTCTCTCAGCACTGGACAGATCATCTACGCAACAAATAACAGAGTAACCTTTACTCTTTCAGAAGGAGAGAAGAAATCTAAGGTTATCAGAGGTGGGAGGGGGGAGGGAGAGGAGGTTCGGGAGACATTGGATAAGAGCATAAAGAATAAGTACGATTTGTAATATGCTTATAATATTAATTTGATCAACATGTCAACGTTGAACCTCCAAAATGTGTATAACCAATTATGATTCAATAAAAAAAGAGATAATCAGAAGAAGAAATAAATAAATAAATTGTGGGATATTCATGCAATTGAATATTATACAGCAAAGAAAATGAACTAACTGCAAACAACCTACCAACACAACGTACAGGAATATAATGTTGGATTTGTGTCTTTTCTCTGAATCTGTTTTCTCGTTCATGATGATGTTTATTTATAGATCATGTGTGTCTTCCCACCCAAACAGAATGTAAAATTGCAAGAGCATTAGAAAAAAAAAAAAAGATTTGTATAACAGCCCTTAACTTGAATTGCGGTCTTTAAATTGCAAGAGCATTAGAAAAAAAAAAAAAGATTTGTATAACAGCCCTTAACTTGAATTGCAGTCAATTCAAGCCCTTAACTTGAATTGAAGAATAATGGCAATAATGTTGTAAAATGCTATCAGCAGATCAAAGTCTCTTTTGCAGGTAATCCTCTTTTGTTAGGTCTGGCATTTTTTAATAATAGGGACCTGTGTTCTTGTTGGAACACTTAGTGCGTTTGGTATTATAACTTTAACCTGTTTTTGTTTGCTTTTTTTCCCTTTTCCCTAGCAGCTTAGTCAAACCATGAAACAGGCACGTCACCGACTGGCATCCTTTAAAACTGTGAGTAAAAAAAAGGCATCAGTGTTTCCAGATGGTAGAAGGAAAAGCTTTTCTACCCAAGAGGTAAATTAATTTCTAATATACTGTTTTTAAAAATACAGATAAAGATTTATTTACATCTCAGCATAATTTAAAACTGTAAAATAATTGGAAATAACCTTAAATATCCAATAGTAGGGAATGCTTGAATAAATTATGATATATCCATATACAGCCATTCTAAAAAACATTGTGTTTCAAAGGATATCAGAAGACAAGGGAAAGTGTCTGTGACTTAAGGTTAAGTGAAAAAAGTTGAATACAAAATTATATNAGACAAGGGAAAGTGTCTGTGACTTAAGGTTAAGTGAAAAAAGTTGAATACAAAATTATATACAATATCTCAAAAAAACCTTCTGTCAGTAAATATTTATGGAATGTTTATGATTGCTGGGCATTGTTCTAAAAACAGGACTTACAGGGCCGGCCCGGTGGCGCACTGGAGAGTGCGCCGCTTGGGAGTGCGGCGGGGCTCCCGCCAAGGGTTCGGATCCCATATAGAGACCGGTCCGTGCTCACTGGCTGAGCGCGGTGAGGGCGCAACACCGAGGGCTGCGATCCCGGTCCCGGTCCCCCGTACAGG